CATAGGGCTCATCATTGGAGGAAACTAAGTCTCCTGACTGTAGGAAGCTAAGCCTCATGATTGAAGGAAGCTTGTTTACAGAGGCAAGGTATGGGCCATTTTGTTCTCTCCTCAGCTTACAGTGGTGCCTCACAAGACTATTTTAATTCATTCCCAAATAGCTGTGTTGAAAACATTGTCTTGCGAAACCCAGTTCCCCCTCAGATGGCCTTCCCCCTCTTTCTCTCTCCAGCATCAAAGAAAGAGGATGAAAGGAGTCAAAGCTGGCTCCTGATAATGATGACTCCTTTTGCCCTGTTCTTTTACCACTAGGGACAAAGAATGCAATCTAAGACATCACCACAACTTGCTGCCTTTGCAATAGGTCCTGATGAGGAGAAAAAGAGATGAAAAGGAATCTACAAAAACCAGGGAAATCACAAGTGCAATCTCCCCTTAACACAAATTATGCACTTTTATATTTGTATACGAATACTCCCATATGCTAATACCTGTGCACTAGGATTGTGGGAGGAACACCTAGCCCCTGATGGGGGTCTCGCAGGGCACCCCAAAAACTGAGGAGCTCTCTTGGCCTCTGCCAGGACTGGGGCTGTACAGCCCTGTACTGAGTGGGAGGTGCAGCCAGGGGGTCACCATGCCTTGGGGGGGTCAGGGGACAGAAGGGGGTACGAGGTGCAGGGCCATTCCCACTTACACCTTGCAGAGGAAATACCACTTCATAAAAGTGGTTTTCCCAGGGGGAGGCTCATCCATTGCACTTTGGGTGTGTTGCTGATCCCTGTGATTTCCCCAAACATGGGGAACTCAACTGCATAATTTGTGTTAATGGGGGATTACATTTGTGATTTCCCTGGTTTTTTTACAATCTCTTTACCCTTTACTGTTTTCACCATTCTCTACCATTTAAATTTGCAGCCATAGCCCCACTGGCAATGCTTTCCAAGATGTTTTTCCCCCATTGAAATATATTACATAAGACCTACTTTTTTTTTATCTGAAAAAACTGGGGGAGAAAGTGTATGTTGCTATTTTTCTAAGAGGCAGACCCTAGAAAGCCAGCAGTATATACTTTCTCCCCTACTTTTTTGGGATAAAAAAGTAGGTCTTATGTAATTAATGTGTTTCAATGGGGGGGAAAACTGTCTTGCTAGGCAAGGACCCAAACATTGTCCAGTGAAATGTCTTGCTAGGCAAGGAACCAAACATTGTCCAGTGAAAATTGCCCCATAGGAACAATCATTTTGCAAAATGTAACATTGCTCAAAAAAAGTCATTGTCTAGTGAATTACTTGTTTTGCGAGGCAATCGTCTAGCGAGCCACTGTACTTCCACTGTACTTCCGTGTGTAAGATGCCCCTCAATTTTTAGTGTAGAGCCACTGTAGTTCCACTGTACTTCAGTTTTTAGTGTAATGATTTTAGGAAAAAGTAGTGTCTTATACTGTACATAGAAAAATACAGTAATACCAAGATAGACAGACTAATAATCTGATGTGACATATCGTTTTTCATATTCTCATCTTGTAATGGATACCCAGTGTGGCACAGTGGATAGAGTGATAGGCTAGGACTCAAGAGGCAGGTTCAAATTCCTACTTAGCCATGAACACTCACTCAGGGAGTGGAATTGGTAAATCCATTCCTTAAATATCTCACCTTGGGAGCCCTATTAGGGTCGGTATAAGTTGGTTTCAACTTGACAGCACATAACAACAATGACAACACAGAGCTTGCAATATCCCTGCTTTCCTCCAAATTTTGCCACCCCCACAAATTCACACCAGAGACCTCAAAACCAAATGCAAGAATTTGGCAGCCTAACGACTGTAAATTAAACATCCACAATTAAGCACTGTGTATAATTAATTTCCCTTCTGCCTTTAAAAAAGTGCTAACACTATTTTGGAGTTTTAAAGCAGAATACCAGCATCTTCAGGGGTTCACTGATTATTGAAATCCTTGCCGATCCATTGTTTGGTAGATAAAAGGGCCCAGGTTCAGTCTCTTGAGTTTTCCATCATAAAGGACTTCAGGCTGATACTGCCAATAACTATAGAGAGCAACGACTGTCAAGCTTCTGTTGGTTAAGGCAGAAAACACAGGACCATATCATGGAATGGGGATATTTAGCCCTCCGAACATTGTTGGACTGTAACTCCCACAATTCCTTACTACTGGCTGTGCTGGCCAAGGCTGATGGGAGTTGAGGTCCAACAACAGCTGGAGATTAAGGAGCCTCACACCTCGGCAAGTTGGGTCAAGAGCCAAACTTGGTATAAGGCAGGCTCTATTGCTCATTTGCCATCATCCAGAACTATAGCAGAATACAAGTTACAGTGACAGCAATATAATATTTTCCCATAGAAGCAAGTTGTCACTGCCTAAGTCCCTGCTTGCTAAGCTTGTACCTGCTCTAATTCCTTGCAGCGGCGAGCAAGTGCCTGACACTTGCGTCGTGTCATCTCCTGTTGCCTCAGGGCACCTTCTTCTTCCTCTTCCTCCGGTATCCCACTGTCAGCAAACTCTACCTCGGTCTCCAATTCACTCTCAAGGATATTGCCACCAAAAAGAGGGGGCAGTGCCAGTTCTGAGCCAGGAGGCACGGAGAATTCTTCAAAGCTGACAGCTGCCATAATGACCTTCTGAAAGAGAAAGCACTGATCTTAAGTAATGTTAACCATTCCTTCTCCCCATGCCAGATGAAAGGCAACCCCATAGGCTGGCTCAGATAACCCCATGCAGTGGTGCCTCGCTTCACGAGCGCACCGTTTAACGACGAATCCACATAGCAACGCGTTTTTTGCGATCGCTAATGCGATCGCATTGCGATGTTTTAATAGGCAAAACATCGCATTGCGATGAT